CACCCGCCACCCCCATACCCTCCCCCCCACGGCTGCAGGGAGACGAAGGAGGAGGGGGTGGGCGGGAAGAAAGCCGCAGAGCGGCTACAGAGGGTCGGCGCAGGTAGGTCAGGGGCGGCTGCAGGGAGTGCAGGCGCGGGGTGAGGCAGAGGCACCGCCGAGTGCGCCAGGGGCGGGTACTTGGCGGTTCAGGACACCGTCGCAGGCGCCAGGGGCGGTTCCGCGGCGGCTCAAGGGCACCGTCGCGCATGCCACGGGGCGCACGACGAGCAGGGCACCGTCGCGTGCCACGGGGCGCACGACGGGCAAGTTTAGGGCACCGTCGTGTGCCTCGGGGCGCACGACGAGCAGGGCACCGTCGCGTGCCACGGGGCGCACAACGGGCAAGTTTAGGGCACCGACGTGCGCCACAGGGCGCACGACAGGCAGGGCACAGTCGCGTGCCACGAGGAAGTCGAGAGGTTTGTGCCAAGGAGAAAAGTGATGCAATATGAGAAACAAGTACAAGTTATACTTCAGGAAGGGTGCACCACCAAGAAAGAACAAATATATAAATACACTACAGCTAGAACTGAATGCAATTATATATAATTCTGACATGAAGCCATCTGGGGGTGGTCTAGGGTTTAGGGTTCGATAGTGTGTATGATGAGAAACTTAGAACGAGAATGAATGACTAAGGAATGGAAGTGATACAAATATGCAACCTTAGAAATGTGTACCCCATATGGGCTACCCCACTATAGCCTACACAATTTTATAATTTAACACACCCCCATAGGCAAAGTGGGGGAGAACAAGGGGTCACAAGACCAGTCAAGCAAAACAGACAAAGCTCAGGGTGGATCACAACGTCACCACACAGCCCGAGCACAAGGTCAAGGCCACAAGGCCAGTTCACATGCAGGAGTACACATATATATATAAGGCTAAACAAGCAAGAGCAGGTATATATATATATGTAAGAGTACAAGCAAGGTCAAGGGGTGAGCAAGTGAGGCAAGACAGGCACAAGACCCAGCTGAGTGCAGAAGCGCTGATGATCACAAGGCGGAAGTGCCTTGGTGAAAACATCAGCAGTGTTGGCCTCAGAGGCCACGTACGCAAGTCGCAACTGACCACGCTGCTGCAACTCACGAGCGAGAAAGTAGCGGAGAGCAATGTGCTTCGTTCTGTGCTCCACGCGCTGCTCCCGACACAAGGCTAGCATGGCCTTGTTGTCTACGTACAGCACTGGAGGAGAACGAGGCGGCTCTCCGAGGTCAGTCAGCAGGTAGGTAAGCTAGCGAAGCTCCTGTGCAGCCATGGCCCCGGCGTAGATCTCAGCCTCACAACTGGAGCCGAGAACAGAAGACGAGCGAGTAGCCCGCCACGAAACAGAGCCGGACCCAAGGCTGAAGGTGTAACCCTGTGACGACCGCTGCGTAGCCTGGTCGTCTGCCCAAGAAGCGTCCGCGTGCCCAGTGAGGACCACTGGACTCCGCCCTCCAAGCACTAGCCCCATGCCCGACGTACTGCACAAATAGCGCAACACCCTCTTCGCTGCAGCCATGTGCTCTGGTCGGTGTCTCCCAGGAGCAACATAGCGTGCGAGAATGCTAAGAGGGTATGCAAGGTCAGGTCGTGTGCAGGTCATCAGGTACATGAGGCAGCCAACAAGCTCTGGGTACGGGCCACTCGACTCTACGGACTCATCCGAAGGCAGAGCTGAGAGCGAGTGGCGAGTAGACAGAGGAGTGGCTTGAGGCGAGGAGTACGTGAAGCCGAAGCGCTGAAGGACCTGCTGCACCATGTGTGACTGAGTCAGGGTAATGGTGCGGCGTGCTCTGTCTCGGGTGATCTGCAAGCCAAGGTAGCTGCGCAGTTCACCCAGGTCTGTGCACGTGTGTCTCTTCTGCAGCTCGGACTTCACGTGGGCAAGTCCAGCAGTGTCAGCTGTGGCAAAGACCAAGTCGTCGACGTGCACGAGGATGTAGAACGACGGCAGAGAGGTGTCGGTGCGTAGAAACAGCGACGGGTCAGCAGTAGAGGGAGCAAACCTAAGAGCCGCAAGTGTAGTCCTCAGTGTGTCGTGCCACTCGCGCGGTGCCTGGCGGAGACCGTAGACTGGCCGTCGGAGGCTCCACTGGGTGCCAGGAGGGAAAGTCCCAGTGAAGCCAGGTGGACGGCGCAACCAGATCTCCTCGTGCAGGCTACCCTGCAGGAAAGCAGTGCTGAAGTCAAGGGAGTGAAGCTCGTAGTCACACTGAGCGGCTACGTGTAGCAGCACCCGAAGAGTGGTCATCTTCGGGGTGGGAGAGAAGGTATGAAAGTAGTCAACTCCCTGCCGCTGACTGAAGCCACGAGCCACGTACCGCGCCTTGAAGACAGGTGGAGAGCCCGGCGGCCGCTTCACCCTGAAGATCCACATGCCACTGACGATGTTCGCCCCAGGAGGGGGAACCGCGTCAACATAGGTGCCTGTGGACTTCAAGGAAGCCATCTCTGCATCCATAGCTGCCTGCCACTGAGAGGAGTAGGGACCCTCTACGGCCTCCGCATAAGAGCGCGGAGTCGGGATGTCTAGTGCATCCGGGTCTCCCTCAGGGGTAAGCAGTACGGACGCGAGATGAGGTGAAGCAGCAGCCAGACACTGAAACTCCTCCTGCCTGTCCTCAAAGACGTCCGTGCCAAGAGCACACTCACCCCCGACGGACGGAGGACAGATAGACGCAGACTCAGCAACAAGACTAGCAGCGTAGTCTAGACGACAGCGAGCAGCAAAGTCGACGAGCTCAGCAACAAGAGCAGACGCAGCAGTGGACTCAAAGGAGAGGTCAGTGACGTCAATAGCAAGGAGACGCGTGACAGTAGGACTGGCAGCACGAAGAGAGTCAGACTCAGGGTCGGCAAGCGCAGGAAGAGAGGACGCAGGAGGAGAGGGCAAAGGGGCACGCAGAGGAGCAGTGGACGGACGCAGAGACATCCGGTGCGTGCCAGGGACAGGAGGAGGAAGCTGACGCGAACTGCGACCACTAGTGCGAGCAGCACGAACAGGCGACGCAGGACAAGACGCAACCTCACGACGCTCAGCAAGACCTCTAGTAGGACCAGTGTACGGAGAAGGAGAAGGCAGTGGGGAGGCCGGCGGTAACTGTGACTGCGACTGGACAGGCGGTGGACACTCTAAGGGAGGAGGAAGACCAAGAACCTGCTGAAGGAGCGGAACAAAGTACGGCCGAGGCCGCGCGGTGACTCCAGACACAGCAGGGACAGCACCAGCACCCCCAGCGGCAGCACCAGCGTCAACAGCACCCCCGGCTCCAGTACCTCCAGCAGCACCAGCAGCACCCGCAGCAGGACCGCCGCCAGGACTCACAGCAGTAGCCTCAGCGCCAACACCCTCAGCAGCTCCGACTCCAGTAGCACTCGCAGGACTAGCACCTCCGAGACCGGCGGCACCAGCACCCTCAGCAGCCAAAGAAGCACCAGCTCCAGTAGTACGCCTCCAGCGCCGGGCAAACCACTCGCGCAACTCCTGTGGAGAGAGTGGCTCCCGTCGAGACGAAGCACCCGGAGAACCACCAGGTCCAGCACCGCCAGACGCCACACGAGTAGGTCCAGCGACCGCGGGCTCCGCACCCCCAGGCTCAGTAGCTCCAGACTCAGCACCCCCAGGCGCAGCACCCCAAGGCGAAGGACCTTTAGGCTCAGCACCCCCAGTCATAGCACCCCCAGGCTGAGCACCCCCAGTCGTAGCACCCCCAGGCTCAGCACCCCCAGGCTCAGCACCCCCAGACTCAGCACCCCCAGGCTCAGCACCCACGCGCGCAGCACCCCCAGAGTCAGCACCCCCAGGCTCAGCACCCGCAGCAGTACCAGAGTCACCGGCAACCTCGACCGGCTCGACTGCATCTACCTGGGACACACCTGAAGTGGCAGTACCCTGAGGGGGGAGGACGTCTACCGGGGGGGACCTGGCACAAGGAAGTGCGGTGGCGGGGGGAGGGAAGGAGTGCGGTAGGGGAAGAGGCGGTAGTACGGGACTGACTCGTTTAACGTGACGTCCTGGGAGGACAGAACACGACGAGAGGTGGGGTGGTAGAACTGCCACCCAGGGGCGTCAGGGGGGAAGCCAAGGAAGACACAGGGAGCAGCATAAGGTGACAGCTTGTCCGCAGACAAGTCGCGGACAAACGCCCGAGATCCCCAGACACGGAACGCAGACGCATCGCCGACCTTCCCCATCCACAGCAAGGCTGGGGAGGTCTCGGGCTTGGAGACCCTGGGGTGAAGGTTGATCTGATGTGCCGCGTACCGAACCGCAAACGGCCACAGAAAATGGGGGGCAGCCGCATGCATCATGGACGTACGAGCGACGTCCATGACCATGCCAATGCGGCGCTCAGCAATCCCATTTTGCTGTGGAGAGTCCAGAAGCGTAAAGGTCTGGCGGATGCCTCGCGCACGACAGTAGGCTCGCAGAAGGCCAGAGGAGAACTCTCCGCCTCGGTCAGAGTGCAGACGCAGAACAGGAAAGTCCGAGCCGAAGCTCCTCCTGAGCTGGAGACGAGCTGCGCAGATCCAGTCGATCAACACCTCAGTGACATCACCCTTGCTGCGCAAGGGGAAGACTGTAGTGTAACGCGAGTAGTCGTCAACCACTAGCAGGAAGTAGCGCTCGTGATCCTGTCCACGGACGCGGGCTGGGCCCCACACGTCCATGTGAAGCGTCTGCAGCGGGGCCTCTGTCGGGGGAAACTGAGAGGAGTGAGGGGCAGCCCGGAGCCGCCCCTCGACACAGGGGTCACAGGAAGGACCGGGCCCCGGAGGAAGGGGAGGGAGGGACCGGGGAAGACCAGAGACAAGGACACGGGAAGCCATGCCTCGGAGGCGAGGCAGGGAGGGGTGACCAAGACGGTGGTGCCACAGGAGAGTCTCGTGAGACAGGAGGCGACACGAGCAGGGGGCAGACTCCGGACCAGACCTGGACGCTGCAGCAAACACCTGACCCGACGCAGCTACCTGGCCAAAAGCGGGGAAAGGAGGGGACCCAGTGGTCAGGGTGTAGAGGCTCGACCCCGGCCGACGCGTAAACGTGGCCAGGTGCCGGCCCGTGCGAGCGTCCGAGCAGTGGGTCACCCGCTGACTCGCAGGAGTAAACTGGTGAACCCCCGTATCCTGCAGGTCAGCACCACTCACCAAGTTCGTAGAGAATGAGGGGAGGTAAAGACCAGACAGGGTGCCAGAGGGGGCAGCCGGACACAGGAGGACAGTGGAGAAGTGAGAGAGGACAGGACCCCCAGAGGGGTCTGCCAGGGAGACTGCAACCGGCCGACCAAGCGGCGTGAGTGTGGTGCGGTCTCGAAAGAAGGAGCGAGAAGCCCCCGAGTCAAGTGTGAAGGTGAGGGAGGCCGAAGCCGACGCGGTACCTGAGAGCGCAGCCTCACCAGTACCTGACGGCGCAGACGTACTGGCACCTAGAGCAGAAGCCTCACTAGCACCTAGCGCAGCAATACCAATGCCCGGGTCGAGCGGGAAACACCGGTAACAGTCACCCTCATCACTAATAGTCACAGCATACATGGCAGCAAGGATAGCATCAAAGTCAAGATCATAGATAGCAACACCTGCCCTAGACAGCTCTCCCCAGCCGGGGATCTCACTAGCCTATGGGAACTGCTGACGCCAAGCGTCCGTCAGGCGGCCAAAGCAGCGCTGGGTGGGGTGGGCACCCCCACACTGCTCACCACCGCGGTCGCCGGAGCGAAGGACGTAGGTGCACGGACCGAAACCCCCACCACGCTGACGCTGCGTGTACCACTCACGGAGCTGCTGAGGTGGGGGGATGTCCCGAGAACGCTGCTGCTGCTGCTGCTGCTGCTGCTGGCGCTGACCACCACCGGAGCCGCTCCGCTGCAAAGCACCACCCCGACCTGCTCCACCTCCTCCACCACCGCCGCCTCCACCTCCGCCACCACCGCCGCCTCCGCTCCCACCTCTATCGCCTCGGCCGCCTCCGCCTCCGCTGCTGCCACCGCCACCTCCACCCTCGCCGCCACTCCCACCGCCACCCCCACTCCCTCCGCCGCCTCCACCGCCACCTCCACCACCCCCGCTAGCTCCACCCGCGCCCTTGACCCCCTTGCCCTTGCCAGAGCGACGTCTCCCGCTAGGGGCAGACGCCGCACCGACCGACTCAAGACCAACGAGGTCGGCCGCAGCAGCAGAGGCGACAGAGGGCAACAGGGGGGAAGGGGAACACCCCTCAAAGATGGGGGTGCGAGGGTCACCACGAGAGGCTCCTACAGCGACTATGCTCTTCTCCGCTGCTAGGAGGGCCTTCTCGAGGAGGTCAACAGTGAGAGTGGTGGGACAGACTGAGAGGAAGTGGTCCCTGACTACGCGAAGGGAGTCAGGGAGGCGGGTGACTATATAATAGAGAGTGATGTACATGGGGGGGGGGGTTCTTGGCGCAGAACTCAGCAGGAAGCGCGGCGCGGTAGCGAGTGTCACTAGTGCGGAGTTGCGTAATGAGGTCAGCGACTGTGGGAAAGGCAGCAAGGTTAGGGAAGAGGTACGGTAGCATGAGGCGGCTCAGTGCAGCAGTGGCAGGGGAAGAGTAGCGCGCAACTACAGCGTCGTACAAGGTCTGAGCACTCTTGTATTGACTAAAGTGCGCTCGCTCAGTGGTAGGCAGGTGGCGACGCACAGCAAGACGTGAAGCAGCATCGCGCGTGGCCCAGTGGGAGCGAACAGTGGGGTCCGCATCAGCAGCAGGGGCAGGAGAGGCGCCAGAGGTGAGGTCAAAGAGAGAGAGACCGTCTGCCCTATCGCACTGTAGGAAGAGCTGCAGGTCATCTACCCAAACCTCAAAGTCAATGGCTCGACCCTCAGCGTCAAAAGCAAGAACACTAGGGGTAGCCATGACAATAGTAGACTAGGAGGACCGACTGTAGGACAGGGGCAGTGCAGTGACAGAAGCGCTGCTCTCACCAGACAGGGTGGGTCGGGCAGCTCAGCAGTGCAGCAACACGGCAACACGGCTGCTCGGACGGCACAGCAGCGACTGCGGTTCCGCGGCACCTGCGGCTTGGCTGATCAGGCGACTCGGGCGGCTCGGGCGGCTCGGGCGGCTCGGGCGGCTCGGGCTGGTCGGGCGGCTCGGTCGGCTCGAGCTGGTCGGGCGGCTCGGGCGGCTCAGGAGAGTCAGGCTGCTCGGGTGGCTCGGGCGGCTCGGGCTGGTCGGGCGGCTCGGGCGGCTCAGGAGAGTTGGGCGGCTTGGGCGGCTCGGGCAGCTTGGGCAGGTCGGGCGGCTCGGGCGGCTCGGGTGGCGCGGGCGGTGCAGGGCGGCAGGGCCGCTGGTGAAAGGGGTGGCGGGGCCGCTGAGGAGGGCGGCGGGGCCGCAGTAGAAGGGCGGCGAGGCCGCAGTAGAAGGGCGGCGGGGCCGCAGTAGAAGGGCGGCGGGGCCGCTGAGTAGGGCGGCGGGGCCACAGGAGAAGGGTGGCGGGGCCGCCGATTAGGGCGGCGGGGCCGCTGAGTAGGGCGGCGGGGTCGCAGGAGTAGGGCGGCGGGGCCGCTAAGTAGGGCGGCGGGGCCGCAGGAGAAGAGCGGCGGGGCCGCTGATTAGGGCGGCGAGGCCGCAGGTGAGGGCGGCGACGGGGCCGCAGCTGTAGGCGGCGTCGGGGCCGCAGGGGAGAGCGGCGACAGGCCGCAGGTGAGGGCGGCGACGGGCCGCAGGTGAGGGCGGCGACGGGGCCGCAGGTGAGGGCGGCGACGGGGCCGCAACAGAGGGCGGCGACGGGCCGCAAGTGAGGGTGGCGGGGCCGCAACTGAGGGCGGCGGGGCCGCAAGTGAGGGCGGCGGGGCCGCAAGGGAGGCCGCTAGGGCGGCTCGACGAATGCAGAGAGGGGAGCGCGACTCGGGGAGCGCGCTCCGGGCAGAAGAAAAAAAAAATCGATGTGGTGGGCCCTAGGCATAGTTCCCTTGAGGGAACCTGCTCGATACCATGAGAAACTTAGAACGAGAATGAATGACTAAGGAATGGAAGTGATACAAATATGCAACCCTAGAAATGTGTACCCCATATGGGCTACCCCACTATAGCCTACACAATATTATAATTTGACATATGAGATGTCTCCAGTTCGGTTCTTACGCGTTTCTATATTTCAGTAGAGATTGAGTACCCATTTTGGTCGATCCTGATACAAGTATTTCTCTTAGTACTTCTGGCGGTGAAACTCATATCCGCTCCAAGGTAGAATGAAATGAAAGTTGTTGTGCTTGTATAGTCACTCACTAAAGCGTGCTATTATGTTTCAAATGTTGTAGCCTGTAGTGAGGCTTAACTTAGGGGGCACAAATGTTAGGGTTTGCTATATGTACCCCAACCCATATCAATGAACAAACAATTCAGTTTCTGACATGGTATCACCTAGTTTAGGATCCTGTAGGATCCCATTCCTCTTGCCCGAGCCTCCCGAGCCTCACGCGCCTCACCCGTCCCGTCATGTCTCGTAGCACTGCAGTAGCGCCCCTTTTGTACGCTCGTCCGCCGCGCGCCTGCAATCACGCTTGCCGCAGCGCGTTTTGCCCGTTATCGCGCCCGTCTCTTCCCGTCCCCCTGTGGAGAATGGGCTATTATGGGAGAGCCTAGGCGCAGAGTTGCATGATTGGAGAGTGAAGTGCGTTGCATCGCTCGCGCCGATTTTCCTTCAAATTATAGCGAGGGTGCATGGCAAACTTGCTACCCTTTCCCGGCACTTTCGGGGGCAATTTGGCGAGGGCAAAGGCCTCAGCATTGATCTAGCGAATTTCACTGTTTCCCTGTAACTTCACACAAACAGGTGCCCAGAAACCGTGCATCTCCAGAACCATCCAACTGCCAACACAAACACATTCATAGAACATACGCAACAGAGGCATAGTGTAGATTGTGATTCCCGTGACTAGCGCCAATGGATCCTAGCGACTATGTACCTCATAGCTGAGTCTATTTCCACGCATTCCTAGAAGCAATATTGGCGCCCATATTCGCAGGGCTAACATCCGCACAACATATCGCTATAAGATATTTGCAGCATGGATCGCCATAAAATATTCCTTCTATGGAGTAGGAGGAAATTAGGCGCAGATGGCTGCATCCAATTCATACGCTCCTGAATCACAGGTTCGTACAATACTTCGGGTCGACCGCCACGTGTTTTTTTACCTTGTGCGCTTGTACTCCCCACACGTTAGTTAGCGCGCTGCCATGTCTGTGCCCATCTCATTATGTGTAGCTGCAGCCCTATCCCGAATGGCCCATGGATGGACCTTTCGCATCATTGGGATAGTGTACGGAATGAGTCAATGCCTCACACACTGCGTATTTTACCACTTCGCGAGATTCGTACGTCACCGCCTGACTCCCTACTGGGTCAAATGGCCTAATGATGAAGAACTAGTTGCAATGGAGGAGGAATTTAGGGCGTATGGCGGAATTCCTGGGGTCGTGGGTGCCATAGACGACACCTACATCTGGATGCGCAGATACGGCTTGCACAAAGAGGAATTCCAGAACCGCCACAGTTATTACTCAATAATTCTTCAGCTCGTCGTAGACGCCGTGGGGTACGTGTGGAATGTTTGGGCTGGGTGGCCAGGGAGCGTTAACGATGCACACGTTTGGGCCCTGTCCCCCATCAAACGAAGGATAGATCGCGGAGGAATTGGGAACTTTTGTCAAAAGTTAGAACGAGGAATGAATCAACTAGGAAGCAGGTGGGTACAAGTGGGAAAACCTAAAAGTGTTGTACCCCATATTGTCTACCCCGGTACAGCCTACACAGACCATAGCATACAAGTTTGACACACCCCCATAAGCAAAGTGGGGGAGAACAAGAGGTCACAAGACCAGTCAAGAAGAACAAAGCAAGCTGAGGGTGGATCATGACGTCACCACACATTCCGAGCACATAGACTTATATAAAGTAAAACGAGTTATATTAAGTAGAACAAGCAAAACAGTGATCACAACCTAGCAAGTGTAAGCATGCAGCTATATATATAAGCAAAGTACAAGAAGTGAGCAAGTGAGGCCAAGTGAGGACAAGGCCTAGAACAGAATAGAATCACTGATGATCACAAGGCTGAAGTGCCTTGGTGAAGATATCAGCCGTGTTGGCTTGAGAGGCCACGTAAACACGACGAAGCTGACCACGCTGCTGCAACTCTCGAGCAAGTAAGTAGCAAAGAGCGATGTGCTTCGTTCTGTGCTCCAGTCTCTGCTCGCGACACAAGGCAAGCATTGCCTTGTTGTCGTCGTACAGAACTAGAGGAGAACGAGGCACCTCGCCCAGGTCGGTCAGCAGGTAGGTGAGCCAGCGTAGCTCCTGTGCAGCCATGGCCCCTGCGTAGATCTCAGCCTCACAGCTGGAGCTGAGAACAGAAGACGAGCGGGTAGACCGCCACGCGACAGAACCGGAGCCAAGGCCGAAGGTGTAACCCTGTGACGACCGTTGCGTAGCCAAGTCGTCAACCCAAGAAGCGTCTGCGTGACAAGTGAGAATAACTGGACCCCGTCCCCCAAGCAGAGCCCCATGCCCGAGGTACTGCACAAGTAGCGCATTACCCTCTTAGCTGCCTTCAAGAGCTCTGGTCGGTGTCTCCCGGGCGCAACGTAGAGTGCCAGGATGCTAAGAGGGTAAGCAAGGTCAGGACGAGTGCAGGTCATCAGGTACATGAGGCACCCCACAAGCTCTGGATATGGGCCACTCGGCTCTACGGACTCATCATAAGGCAGAGCTGAGAGCGAGGAGGACCTGGCGCTAGGAAGAGCGGCGAGGGGGGGGGAGGGGGGCAGTGCGGTAGGGGAAGAGACGGTAGTAAGGAACCGACTCGTCAAACGTGACGTCCTGAGAGGACAGAACACGGCGCGAGGTGGGGTGGTAAAACTGCCAACCAGGCACGTCAAGGGGGAAGCCAAGGAAGACGCAGGGAACAGCACGGGAGGACAACTTGTCCGCAGACAAATCGTGGACAAAAGCTCGAGATCCCCAGACACGGAACGCAGACGCATCGCCAACCTTCCCCGTCCACCGCAGAGCAGGTGTGGTCTCCGGCATGGAGACCCGGGGCTGGAGGTTGAGCTGATGCGCAGCGTACCGAACCGCGAACGGTCACAAAAAATGGGGAGCAGCCGCATGGATCATGGACGTACGAGCGACGTCCATGACCATGCCAATGCGGCGCTCAGCAATCCCATTTTGTTGTGGAGAGGCCGGAAGCGTGAACGTCTGGTGGATGCCCTTCGCACGATAGAAGGCCCTTAGAAGGTCGGAGGAAAACTCTCCACCTCTGTCGGAGTGCAGACGCAGAACAGGAAGGTCCAAGCTGAAACTCTTGCTGAGCTGGCGACGAGCTGCGCGGATCCAATCGATCAGCACCTCAGTGACCTCACCCTTGCGGCGCAAGGGGAAGACTGTGCTGTAACGCGAGTAGTCGTCAACGACCAGTAGAAAGTAGCGCTCGTGACCCTGTCCACGGACGCGGGCTGGGCCCCACACGTCCATATGAAGCATATGCAGGGGAACCTTTATCGGAGGGAACTCGGAGGAGTGAGGAGCGGCGCGCTGCCGCCCCTCTACGCAAGGAACGCAGGTAGGGGCATGCCCTGGGGGAAGGGGAGGGTGAGACCGGGGAAGACCAGTGACAAGGACACGGGAGGCCATGCCTCGGAGACGAGGCAGGGAGGGGTGACCAAGGCGGTGGTGCCAGAGGAGAGTCTGGTGAGACAGGAGGCGACACGAGCAGGGGGCAGACTCAGGACCAGACCGGGACGCAGCAGCAAACACCTGACCCGACGCAGCTACCTGAGCAGACTCAGCAACCGGAGGAGACACAGTAGTCAGTGTGTATAGGCTCGACCCAGGCTGCGGGGTGAAC